TTTTTTTTTTTTAACAAAATTGGCTCATTGTGCAGTTCACAGGCCAAGTTGCTGAAAGTACCACTACTTGTAAACACCACCTAAGTGCTGTTATCAGTGTTCCTCTGGTTTAAAATTAACCAAAACATTAACCTGCCAGAAATTATGCTTTTTGTTCTGGATCCTGCACTTACTCGTTAGATTATCTTGCTGTAACTGGAGAACATAATTTTGATTTTTATAATGGACTATTATTTCCAGGCTCCTGTTTGGAGTAAGGTTGCCTCCAGTGCTCTGTGCAAAGTTTAAACTTATCAAAAGCCCTGAAAAAGTTCCAAAATTAACCAAACCCCTTGTGTCTTGGTTAGGGGTCCAGATGGTGTGAAGCTGGAGAATGCCAACAGCAGCATTGCCACTGTCACAGGCCTCCAGGTTGGGACATATGAGTTCACTCTGACAGTGAAAGATGAGAGGAACCTGCAGAGCCAAAGCTCCGTCAACGTCATCGTCAAGGAAGGTACGTCCAGCCACGAGCAGAGCTGCTCACTCCCAGGTTATCTCTCAGCAATTCAGCAAAACCTGTGTTCAGAGACACAATAAAAGTAAGGAATGGAGGGAGACAATGTGGAGAGTGCTGAAGTGGCCTTGAGATTTGCCCTTTTCTGGAGGAATAGTGTTTTCAGCCTAATCCTGCAGTATTTCCCTTCTCTTCCCTAGGGTTAGACAGGGATTTCTGCAGTACACTGGAGACCTAATGCAGTAATTTTTGGTTGGGCATTACAAGATCTTTCTCCAAGTGCTTTCTCTCTATTTATTTAGAGATAAACAAGCCACCCGTTGCAAAGATTGCTGGTAATGTTGTCATCACCTTGCCCACAAACACAGCAGAGCTGGATGGATCGAAGTCCTCTGATGATAAAGGGATTGTCAGCTACTTGTGGACCCGGGATGAGGGGAGCCCTGCAGCTGGGGTGAGCTTTCTTTTGTAAAGGATCACAAAAATCAGTGCAAGGTAGTGTTGGCAGCTCCTGAGGAAATACAGAGCTCCTTGTTGGGCTGTTACTCTGTCATATCCTGAAATATGACAATACATGATGCTACTTTGATCCTTTGTTTCCTCATGCTTACTTTGTTCTGCCTTCCAGGAAGTCTTAAATAATTCAGACCATCATCCTGTCCTTCTGCTGTCCAATCTGGTAGAAGGGACCTACACATTTCACCTCAGAGTAACAGATGCCAAAGGAGAGAGTGATGTGGAAAGGACCACGGTGGAGGTCAAACCTGGTGAGTCTGGGTTTTGTGCTGTACCACATTTGCCTGCAGCCCTCTGGATACAGTGTACTGGGATTAAAATGTGTCATCTAGT